AAATACAGGGCTTCTCTTCACTCTTTCTTACATCGCAAACTTAACTTCTCTACTTTCTAGCTTGAGAAAGATCTTGGAGAATTTTGTACTGCTTGTCGAAGAGAGGAGTTGCCGTGCATCCCAAAGTAAGTCGAGCACGTAAATTTTTCTTCGTCTTCTCTTTTTCAAGGCGAGGACCAGTTGGGTGGGACCAGGCTGGTTGTCGTCGTGACTGGTGGCCAAAGACGATTGGAGCGGTGGTGGCCGCTGGCGTCTGCTGAGCGACAATCAAGAGGAAGTTGGTGGACTGCCCCTGCTAAGGATGTCGATATGAGCCTTGATGATCTGCCTGCTGGACATGAGGAGTGTTTTGCTAAACTCCCCTAAAAGAGGAAGGCTGATGTCAAGTCTTCGAGAGCTCAAGCCTGATGAGTTTGGAGATCGTGATATGCTCCGTAAAGTAGTCTGTGCGCGATCTAGCTCACTTGTTGAGAGGCAAAGAGATTCGAATGCTCCTTTCCGAAATTTGAGTCGTTTGTACCAGTCGAAGATTGGAAGTCGATCTGGGCAGTCTGCTCATCCATCCAACCATCATGTTTCAACTGTTGAGTCACGAGCAGTCAAGTATGGAGTGGATTCATCGTCGCTAATTTCTTTGGAAGTGAGGTTGACAGAGGCTAAGAAAGCAAGAGAGTCATTTGCCTGGGCGAAGGGCTCTTCTGCAACGTCAGCAGCTAATCCCAAGGTGGACAAGTCCACCCCTGCAGAGGATGCAGGTGTGTATGATCTGCTCAAGACGAACTTTCTGTCAAGTCCATCCACTTGTGTTGAGCTGGTTCATCAAATCCGTCAGGCTGGCGATCTTGGTACTTTCCCAAGTCTTTCCTTGGAAAAACAAAAGGAAGCAACATTTCTTTTCCTTCAAAAAGGAGGTGGGGGCAGACGTGGAGGATCAGGCAGGTGGAGCTGCTGAGAGTGTGGCTGATCATACGGACGCTGAAGTGGCTGCAGATCAAGGATTTCCTGCTGGCGTCTCGGAGTAGATGAAGACTTCTTTATTTCTTTTCAACTTTTGTAGTCTGCTTTCTCATTTAGAATAATTGGTCTTGCTTGACCGTCTTCTTTTTGTTGAACTTTGGCCGGTTGGTCACTTTATTAAGGAAATTTCAGTTATTTTTTCAACTTCAATTTGCATAGTGTCTTGTGAA